AAAAAAAAAAAAAAAAGAAAGAAAAAGAAAGAAAGTGGAGGAACTGCTTTCTCCTGGAGTTCATGCCGGATCTGTGTAATTCCAGGACCCAAGCTTATGTACCATTTCAGGTCTTCCTGTCTTTCTGTTTTTCATGTTCTGTGTGAACTTCTTTCTCACCTGGAGATTGACTCTCCTGAGTGTGTGAGCTCAGAGGACCCAAGGCTTCTCCTCTGACTATCCTGTCCGTTGCATACCAGGGCTCAAAAGAGATAGCAAAGGGTTTAAATACTCTGTGAAAAACTACCAAGATGGAGCACTAAAGTGAAAAAGACTTAAGAATCACCAAGTTCAACCACATTTATTTCACAGATGGGGAGGCAGGATAGGTAGGTTGAGAAAGCAGTGAGTCTTCTTCCTCCTCGGTGCTGGAGTCCACTGGGCTGACATGAAGGGAAGCCCCAAGGGTAGGGGCCTTGCTGTCTTTCAGCTCCCTCCGTCCAGTGCCTCACCGAGGTCTGTGGCCACCACCCGTAAGTGTCTCTGAAATGTCTGCTTTGCCTCTTCTACACCGATTCCAGTCTAGCCTTCTTCCCGCCTCCTGGCTGATTCTCCCACAGCCACTCTTGCCCCTTTCTAGTCCCTTCTCCACCCCGAGAGTCAGTGGTTTTCCCTTATTCTTAGGTTGAAGACCCACCTTCATGCTGGTCTCCAGGACCCTTCCAGGCCTGGCCCCCAGGGGCTACTGCAGCTTCAGATTCGTTACCTCCCCTCTTGTTCTCTGCATTCAGAGTAGCTGGCCATTCTGTGTAACAGGTTCAGCAACTTCCCTGAAGTTCCTCCAGAGTCCAGCGCCAGCCTCTTAGTTGCCAGCCCCCTCAGGGCCTAGGGCTCACGCGGAGGAGCAAATACTGTCTCCTCCTCCTAGGTGTCTGGCTGAGGACGTCTTCCCCAGGGAGCCAGTGCACACAGCGGAGGGCTGAGTGTTCCAGAGACACCACCTAGTCTTCTGCTTCTGCTGAGCTTGTGCAAAGAGGTCTTCAGGCCTGTGGGCTCTCAATCTCGATGTATTTAACTGCT